TGCATCTGACCCAGGATTCCATATGGCATTAGTCACAGTTCTTCTTAGACTTTTCTTAGCAAAAATGCATCTCTGACTTTGTCCTTGAATCTTTAGGACTTCCAAAAAACACTACTTAGATTTCTTTTTAGTGATCCAGTATTTTTAAAGTGCTTTTTCCATGATTATTTTAGGGTTATGTGTTTTGGAAAGAAGACCACAGTGCCAGATTCCCATTTGGATTTCATCACATTCAGAAGAAACTTTAGGTCAGGCATGGTGGCTCACATCTGTAATTCTATCCACTTGGAAAGCTGATATTGGGAAGATCATAGTGTGAGGCCATACTGGGCAAAAAGTTTGTGACTCCATTTCAACCAATAGTTGGGTGTGGTGGCTTTTGCCTGTCATTCCAAGCTATGCAGGAGACTGAGATTGGGAGGCTCTTGGCTCCATGTCAACCTAGGAAAAAAAATTCATGGGATATGATCTTAATGGAAAAAAAAAAAAGCTGGGCATGGTGGCCTAGACCTGTCATTCCAGCTACTGCAGGAAGCATAACATAGGAAGGTTAAAAAGTATGACCTTATCTCCAAAAATAAGCAGAGCAAAAAAAGGGCTGGAGGTATAACTTAAGTGGTAGAGTATCTGCCTAGGAAGCATGAAGTCCTGAGTTCAAGCCCCAGTACAACTAAATAAAAGAAGGAAAGAGAAAAGAATAAACCTTAGTGATATGAATCATCACTACTGAGGCTGACCTTGGTCATGTGACTTGAGTAGTGTCTATCATGTTCTCCATTATAAGTTAGTCTTTTTCTATTTAAAAAAATCTATTTCAAGGTGCTGCAGATATTGCTTAGAAATACTGCTTTCCATGTAGTATTTTTTTGGAGAAAGTCACTTTCACAGTGATTAAAAGAGATTATACTAAAATCATGTTTTCCCTTATTGATAGCAGAGTATCAATATAAATTATTTAAAATTTTTTGACATGTGATATTTGTAACTTTTCCTCCATCTATTCAGCAATGTATTAACATCAGTATTGATCAACTGGTATTTACTTTATACTTTTGATTATAATCATTTAAGTATTTATTATTTCAAGTTTTTCCTATTTTGGCCAAAGGAACTGTTTTAGTTGACAGCTATATTCCTTTGGTGTACTTTCATCCATGTAGGTTTGATTTATTTATTTATTATCATTTACTTGCTTTCTAGCACTACAACATGCCCTAGGATCATATTGGGAATTTCTGTAAAACTCCTAGAATGAAGAATTTCTTTATGGGACCCCAATTCCTTTTAAGAATGACATTTGAAGCTAGATGGATTTGTTGCTAGTAGGTTGTCCTGTTTTAACTGTGCTCATCTGACAAAGAATGGGAAGATAGTGTTTACACTAACTCATTCACATATACATACATAAAGTATTTTTGTTACAACCAATTGTACCTACAACATACAAAGTGAATTTATACTGATGTATGCAGCTAAAATCAAGTTCCATTTGCATAATTACATAATACTTCCCTTTCTTGAACTTCTGCTCCAAAAGTCAGAGACCTAGCTCCCATCACCTACCAGCTACGTATAAAATTATTCATGTTCAGTGTACCAATATAGCAATATAATAGTTGTATTTTGGATAGAAGTCATTTGTAATTTATATGATTTGTAAAATTTTCCCACTAGAATGTGGGTTGTCTTTCATTTTTCTTAAGTGTCTCACAGGGAGGAGGGTTTTATTTTGAATAAAGTTGAACTTAGCAATTTTGTCTCTCAGAAATTATACATTGTTTTTCTAACAATCTAAAGCCACAAAGATTTTCTTTTTCATTTTCTATGTCAATTTTTAAATTTTTTTGCTGTTCACTTAGGTCTATGAACTTTTTTCACTTCAAATTTTACAAAATCTGTACTTTCTGTCAAAATTTTTTTCACATGAATGTCCAATACTTTTTGTGTCATTTGTTGATATACTACCCTTTCTCAATTGAATCACCTTTGCTCCTTTGTCAAATATTATTTCCCCACATTTGTACATATTTTTGAGCAGTATGCTCTGTTCTATTAGTCTTTATATAGTAGTTCATCATTATTACTCTATCTTACTTATTGTATATTTATTGTAAATCATAGACTTGGGTAACATCCATAATCCAGTTTGAAGTCCTTCATTATTTTGTCAATTGGATCTTTTGGCCTTCCATCTAAATGTTAGAATAATTTTTCAGAAGTCCACTAAGTAGCTTGCTGGGATTATAATTTTATAGTATTGAATCTATAAAATAAGTTGGAAAGAATTGAAGTCAATTGACTTTAATTATGTATTTCTCATTGTCATTTTTGCTTCATACAATTTGTTGATCTTTTGATGATACGTACATATGTGCTTTTAACTATTTATACTTTCTTGGTGGATTGACCTTAATATCATGTCTATGGAGTTATTCTTTTGAGATGAAGCCTAATATAATATTAATAATTTAATAATTTCTGTAACTGACAAATTCCTATGTACAAGGCACTGTACATAAGTTTATCTCACATTAACTATTCAGTTATGGGAACATTATTGTTCTCATCTTATAGATAAAATGTTGAGAAATAAACACAATATAAACACCACCCAAATTCACACATTTGACAAAACCAGGATTTCAATGCCAGAATCCTGACTCTAGGACTGGAAATTTTACGTACTTCTCAATAGGATTTCTTTCAACTGTACATGTAAATTTTTCTGGGGATGTGGTGATACCTGTACAGAACAGAGTTTGGTCAAAAGATCATGACTCTATAATCTTAGGTTAATCAGGGAAAAGTCAAAGCATTCATAATAGTTTAGATAACCTTTCCCGCAGGAGAAATACTGCCATTTAAAAAGAGGTAAGTAAACTTAAGTGCTATTTTGAGTGTTTGGAATTATTGAGCCAGTTTCTTCTGCGTTTAGAAGGACAACTGAAATGGTCCATGTAATCCCATTCATGCGGAGAAGAAATTACCTATTTTCACATTGTCAAATATAAAAAACTAAGGTGTGTGTCTCATACTCACTATTTCATGTTTACTTACACCTTGGTTTCCTGCAATGTTTCTTTGATCTTTTTTTGTTTCTGGAACAGGAGCTAGGGCATAATCTCTGAGGACTCAGTCCCAGAGCCCTGTTTTAAATTTGAGGTTAAAGTGGTATGTATTCTTAGAAATGTCCTTTTGGTGTTAGAAAACTAATATAATTGTGGCTTCTGGGTGCTACTCAAAAAGGGTATTAAGTGTGAGCAGCTTGATGACTTCTGGAAGACAGGGGTGAATGAGGTGCTGATTCCTTGTAAGTAGATGTGGCAATGCATGGAGAAGTGAAGTGAAAATAGGTTGAGATTCAGATTATGTAGCCAACATGCACAAAGTAGAAAAGAACATTGAGGACCAATTCCTAATAATTTTATGTTAAATTATAATACATAAATATTAAATACGTATTGTCATAAACATATCATTCACATATTATATAATATGTTAAATTTAAAAGTTTTGCATGAAATCAGTTGCTTTAGATGAAATCAATTTGTATGGCAGTGGAAGGGAAGAAATGAGGCTAGTAGAGCTATACAGATGATAGGGAGATCCTAGAATTAACCTCAAAGTAAATAACTGGATCCTACACCACTTGTCTTATCATTGTCTTTCTACTGAGCCATGCTACTGTAATTTCCCAGAGTATCTGTGCTTTGTAGAATTTCATTAGGACTTGGTGATCTTTGTAGAACTGTTTTTTCTTTGTTGTAACAAATTTAAAAGGACAGAGAATTTCTTACATTTTATTGTGGCTCCTATATTGAAAAATACTATTTTAAAAATGGATATTAGCTTAAGCTATGTTAATAATGAATGAAAGGGTAACTATGCTGTATTTAATTATAATTACTATACCAAAGGACCCAAGGTAATTCCCTTTTTCTCATTCAAAGTAACTTGGTTCATTTGTAGCATTTTCTTTTTCTGCTCACTTTAGACTATCACAGAGGTTGATGCCTTCTCCATTGAAGCACTGCTACTCAAGGGAACTACACAAAGTACCTTTTCTAGTACCAAAGCCACATTTCTAGCATGTGCAACCCCTACAGGTTGCAGTAACCAAGCAAATGTTATATTTATTATATTTGTAAATATAATATAAAATATATTTATAAATATAATGTACAATATATTATTTATTATATGTATAGCAGGAGTAAAATCAAGGTAGGTGAAATTAACAGATGTTTTGAAAGTACACGATATGGTTTAGATAATACGCAGAAGTATGCAAATGTCATTAGGCAGCCCTCCTTCTCCCCTTCCCAAGTGATCTGCCCTGTTGTCTGTATGTCATAACAGTAGCTATTTCTACTCCTTGCCTGGTACCACAAGTAGCAAGTACTTGTCTAAGACATCTGACTATGTGGCTTATAGTCTGCTTCAATGTCTGTGAAAAGCTGCTAGCCTTGGGTCACAGCTTTTATATATGTCATCTATGTCAGGTGAAAAGAAGGAGGCAGAGAATTTAGGATTTGTGTGTGTATATGCCTATGCACCTGAGTTTATAATTTATTTTAATTTTGCATTGGTCAAATGCATTTTTACTTCATCTCTAGTATGTTCATTGTGCCTCAAATATAGTATTAGTGTTTCCAGAGATTCACCAGAGAGGGATTCCCATAGTTGAATCACATTCCATAATATTCCAAAGGGAATGGGATGGTCTAATTATTATCACTTTGCAAACCTTCAGGTTTGAATTTGAATTCAGACAGCAGCATAGTGAAAACTCTGAAAATGACCACGTCCTAAACTCTTCAAATGGCTAAGGGATGATTCAACACATGAGCTTCTGTGACACACCTACTCTCATTGTGAAGGTGACTTTAACTCCATGCTGAAGCACAGCTATCAGCTGATGATCCAGCTTCTTTGTCCTCTGATCACTTTCATTTTTCTTCAACAGGAGGGACAGCTTCAACTCTTCTGACCAGGGAAGGATGATACACTACAGCAACAGGAGTATTTTCCACCCTGCCACATTTTTCTTGGTTGGAATCCCAGGTCTGGAAGAGGACCATGCCTGGATCTCTCTGCCTTTCTGCTCTATTTACCTTGTGGCTTTAATGGGCAATGCCACAATTCTGGTAGTCATCAAGGCAGAGAAGTCTCTTCGAGAACCCATGTTCTATTTTCTAGCTATCCTTTCAATAATTGATTTGGCCCTTTCTACAACCTCTGTGCCCCGCATGCTGGGTATCTTCTGGTTTGGTGTGCATGAGATTAACTTTGGAACCTGTGTGGCACAGATGTTTTTGATCCATGCCTTCACAGGCATGGAGGCCGAAGTCCTGGTGGCCATGGCCTTTGATCGTTATGTGGCCATCTGTGATCCACTTCACTACACTAACCTCTTGACATCTCGAGTTATGGGGGGGATCAGTATGTGCATTGCAATTCGTCCAGCCTTGTTCGTATGCCCCATAATCTATCTCACCTGCCGCCTACCCTTTTGTCAGGCACATATTATAGCACATTCCTACTGTGAGCATATGGGTATTGCAAAATTGTCCTGTGGAGACATCCATATCAATGCTGCTTATGGGCTCTTTTTGGTCTCGCTCTTTCTTCTAAATCTGGTCCTTATTGTCATCTCATATGTTTACATTCTTCGTGCTGTCTTCCGCCTCCCATCTCAGGATGCACGGTTTAAAGCCCTAAGCACCTGTGGTTCCCATGTTGCAGTTCTCTGTGTTTTTTATATTCCATCAGTCTTCTCTTTCCTCACTCATAGGTTTGGACACAACATACCACAATACGTCCACATTCTCATTGCAAACCTCTACTTGGTTATTCCACCCTCACTTAATCCCATCATTTATGGTGTGAGGACCAAACAGATACGGGAGCGAGTGCTCTATGTGTTTACTAAAAAATGAGAGTCTTATGTTCCTTTTCTAAGGATCTTTTTCTTTCTAAGGAGACTCCCATGTTTTTACCATAATGATTAGCTCATGTTCCTTGTCTTATTCCTGTCAACTTGTAATACAAGTTGGTTTGATTTTGGCTTGGTCTAAGGGATTCAACATTTTGCAGAATGTTCACTGTATTCAGTTCAAAGACTTTGGATTATTCTAGAAGGGATAACCTGGGAGAATGTGTATGGATATTTGTAAGACCTCATGCATGGCCCTAGATAGTTTATTTTCTTGGGAAAGAACATATTTTATTGGGTCTCTTGTGCTATTGGATTAGACTTATGTGGGTCAGAAAATTTGACCCTATAAATCCCTTCATTTACTCTTTTTCTCTTTTCATGCTTCCTCATTCCCTCCTTTCCTTTTTTCCTTCCTCCCTCCCTCCCTCTCTGCCTCTCTTCTTTCCTTCATATCATTTTATTCATTTTGATATTAGTTATTCAGTTCAGTTTAGTTATATTTAGTTTATATTCGTTTTATGTCTATTCTTTATCTTGAATCATTCTAATTTCTGAGGATATGTTAATACAGCAAATCAGCCAAATGTTTGGCTCTGTGGAGCTTATATTTTCTTGTACTCATGTAAAGCCACATACCTGTGTTCAAAACAACCATTGCCAAAATCTGTAAATTGAAGTGGAATCATTTGCCAAATGCATGAGACCCAGTGTAATGATAGCCAATGTAACATAATTTCAAGTCTATTTCACACAAATAACAACCATAACATGTATTGGATGGGCCTTTGTATTGCACCATGTGGCGTAGGTGTTAGTAGGTATAGACAGTATTTCTACTGATGTGATATATGCTGTTCTTTGGCTATCACTTTACCCACTTTGATAAACAGTCTAATTTTATCCTAAAATGTGGTACCCAAAATTCAAGGGCTCTCATTCTGAACCCCTTAATATATCACTAATTCCGTCACAGATTTTAATACAGAAACTGTAGATTAAACTAATAGCCACTTTTCACATGGAACTGAATGAGAGGTTAAAGCTGTTTTATTAACAAAATTTCCAAAGACCAAGCAATGCAATTTTGGTGTCATTAAACTTTTATAACTGTACATTTTTAACATTTAAAAAGTGTTTTATTTCTTCTTTTTAGATTACTTACAAAGGAAACTAAAGTAAAATATAACATGTCTGTTGCTACAAACAGGAATGATCCATCATTAGTATTTCATTTATCTCAGAGATTATACTTAATAAAATATATGAAACATTGTATTAAAACCACCTTTCACACCATCTCAACATACTTTCCTGTTTTCCTAGAAATAAATTTTATGTGTGTTTTTGAAATAAGAACACAAACTTTAGTTTTATACCAAGCATTGTATTTTGTTAGATTGTTATTAATTACAAGTATTAAAATGTTTTGTTTGGGTACATTGATTTTATTCACATATTCATCCATTTATAGTTATTCATATTATTTAATTAGAAAGTATGTTTTGTATTACACAGTAACTTACTCAGATTTTATTCTTTGTGATGCAATATTTGATTAAAGGGATATCATCTTTCAGAATTAATTTCTGCTTTCTTTCATTTTGATAAGTATTTTTAAATATTTTACATTTGCTAGTAATTTCCCTTTTCTTACTTACATATTTCCAATTATTTCATTTATGTCTCCTTTTTAAGCTCCTTCCCTACTAATGTGGAAAATAGAATAATTTATATCTTTTTTATTAGGTATTACTAAAATTTTAACTTTCCTAATTACACTTTCAACTTTCTGTTAAAACTAATTTGACCTTCTTCCTTTGGGAAATACCAAAAATATTAGCTTTCTTTTACTGTTTTCTGTTTTTCTTGTGATAGATCTTTCTCCTATGGTTTTCATCTAGAATCTTATCTTCAGTTTTAAGAAGCATACTGGATGCTTATTTTTATTTCAGGAGATCATTTCAATAATTTATTTCATGCCCTATATGTTCTTAGAGCTGCCTGTCTTTCCTTTGATTTTGGGTTATTTGTGATTTTATGTAAACGACATGTTCAAGAAAATTATAAGTTTGATTACCCAGATCTTTTTATAAGTTTTTGAGTGATGCTTTATCTAAATTTCAGTTTTTTAAGTGAAATGGTCCTGGAAAGAATTTTAGAGACTGCTGTTGGAAGCAGCTGAACAGAAAGACATTTATTGGTAGGATCCATTGCTAACTTCCTCCAATTGTATTTCTATAAGCATGTGGTGTGGGCCATTGAATAATAATTCAGGATGATTGTTGAAAATCCACCACATAAATTGAATCCAATTGCCTTGGATTATATTTAAGAAATTTATGTTTTAAGAGGTTTCAAGCATTCTAAATTTTAAGTTGAGACTCATATAATAGTGAAATTAGTTGTTTGTCAGGTGGACATATTGGATAATCATTACAAAGTCAAGTGTTCAAAAGCAGAATTGTCTGCCCCAAACAGGACACTACCACCCCAACATACACACACACACACACACACACACACACACACACACACACACACACATACCACACCTGACTTATACAAACCCATGAAGAACTTTGTCCATTGCCTACCTCATGTTACTGATGTCTCGTATTCCAGAACAATTCCCTGATTTTCCAAACTCCATACCTTTGACTGATTATGCATTTTGTGCTTTTATCACAGCACTTGTCACAATGACACACCACAGTGTCCAGTAACTACGTACAGTTCAGGAGCTAAGAAAATGAACCTGGTGCCAAATATCATTAGTTCAAATACAGTTGCCATATTAAATACCTCTGTGCTGATGGGAAAGTTAGTTAATTTCTCTGTGCCTCAACTTCCTTATTTGTAAAATGAGCATATTAATGCTACAAATTCTGTCAAGTTTGTATAAATTCTTGGGTTAAGATATGAAAATAATTCCTGAGGGACTAGTAGAAGGTAAACACTGTATGTGTTAGATGTTATTAATATAACATGATGTCATCAAGTAGAAAGTGAATATTCCTGTGCTTACATAAACTTCTGTAGCAAAATCTTTTCTTCACTTTTGATTTTTAATTATTGTAAAACACATCATTTCCCCAAACCTTTGTGTACCATTTACTAGAGAAAAGGGTCGAGGGTCTTTAAGAATATAGTAAATTGGTGGGGGAGGTGGTCCAAATGATGTATACACATGTAAGTAAATATAAAAACAATAAAATAAAATTTTGAAGATGGAAAAAAATAAAGTTGTTTTTAGTTATAGGTTAGTAATAACAACAAAAAAGAATATAGTAAACAAGTTTAGTAAAACACTGCCCTCATCCTTTACAAAACTACAGATAATGAGGACCAAAGACATCACATTCTCCTCCATGCTCTCCAAGCAGTAAATTTGTCTATTTCAATGAAGAACACATGCTAACTCTAGGGTTTACACATATGCCCACTGTCTCTCAAACTCAACTAAATCCTCCACAACAGTCTATCAATAAGAAAGTATTTTGAACTCACATCTCTACATTTCTATTTTACCTCAATCTTTTCAGGAATCATGTGGGGAAGAAAACGTACTTTTACTGTGATCACCACCTAGACCCTGGACTGATTACAAACCTTGCCTCAGTCATCTCAAAATCCATGGTGAATTCTTGTGAATAAGTACTTGGCAAATGTCCTCAAACAAAGGGTGGCTATAGAGCACAGAAGGAACAGTAATAACAGTTCTGACACCTGTGTCTGTGGAAAGCTGCATTTCAGAAAGCTGCAGTTAGTGAAATTTGCCTGCATATGAAATGATTATGAGATTATAGCATAATCATGACTTGAAAACTAGACTTATTCCAAGCCTTGCTTCTCTGCTCACTGGCCAGTGGAGGGTATAAAGTGCTGAGCTATTTGTAATGATAAATAAATGTAAAAAAAATATTTAGAGTTAAGTGATTCTGCATGCAATTCACATAGTAAAGACTGTGGAAGCTACTAAATTGTTAATGAATCTTGATCCTCCTCACACACTTTGCTTGAGGGGATGAATTATCTGGGTATATTATTTTTCCAGTGATTAAGTAATTTCCTTAGGCCTCTGTTTACTGGTGACAACTTAATTTTATTTTTCTACAAAAATCACATGGGGAACTTTAAAAACATATTTGAAAGAACAGTACTGCCACCATTATTTTGTGTTCTCTTGGGTTAAGTTTAAACAGCATGTAGTTTTGTTTTGCCTGATTTTCATCAGTTAATATGATGCCTGTGCTATTTATGTATTTAAAACTTTATTACATAAAATTAAAGCACACAATTTAATAACAATCAGAAAGAAAAAGATCATTAAGTATATATTAATGAAAACTTTGGTGACAACAGATTTTTTCATAGCAATAATATTCTAGAGGAGTAGCAAAATGAATTCAGAAGACTAAGAGAATGAATGGAAATAAAATTGTGTAACTACAAAGTACCATTTAAGAATAAGAATAAATGGTTAGTTATAGATGCCTTCTGTAATTGCAACTACTCAGGAGGCTGAGACCAAAAGAATTACAATATGAAGCTTGTCTGTAAGAAGTTAGTGAAACTCCAACTCAACAAAAGAGACTCGTCATGGTAGTGCAGGCCTGCCATCTCAACTACACAGAAGGCATAAGTTGGAGGAGCTTTTTTTATTATTCATTTATTCACATGTGCATACACTATTTGGGTCATTTCTACCCCCTGCCCACCTCCCCCACCCTCTCCCCCCTCACTCTTCCTCACTTCCAGGCAGAACCTGTTTTGCCCTTATCTCTAATTTTGTTGAAGAAAAGACATAAACATAACAAGGAAGACAAAGTGTTTTTGCTAGTTGAGTTAAGGATAGCTATACAAAAGATTCCTAGCATTGCTTTCATTTATGAGCTCTCCCCATGTCATGTGATCCAAGTCCAACCACATTGCTGCATTTGCCCTAGATCTAAAGTCCGCATATGAGGGAGAACATAACGATTTTTGGTCTTCTGAGCCTGGCTAACCTTGGTCAGAATGATGTTCTCCAGTTCCATCCATTTACCTGCAAATGATAAGATTTCATTTTTCTTCATGGCTGAGTAAAATTCCATTGTGTACAAGTACCACATTTTCTTGATCCATTCATCAGTAGTGGGGCATCTTGGTTGTTTCCATAACTTGGCTATTGTGGATAGTGCTGCAATAAACATGGGTGTGCAGGTCCCTCTGGAGTAACCTGTATTGTATTCCTTTGGGTATATCCCCAGGAGTGGGATTGCTTGATCATATGGCAGGTCTATGTTTAGATTTTTAAGAAGTCTCCAAATTTTTTACAGAGTGATTGTATCAGCTTGCGTCACCAGCAGTGTATGAGTGTTCCTTTTTCCCCACATCCTTGCCAACACCTGTTGTTGGTGGTGTTTTTTATGATGACTATTCTAACAGGGGTGAGGTGGAATCCTAATGTGGTTTTGATTTGCATTTACCTTATGGCCAGAGATGGTGACCATTTTTTCATGTGTTTTTTGGCCATTTGAATTTCTTCTTTTGAGAAAATTCTGTTAAGTTCAGTTGCCCATTTTTAATTGGTTCATTGATTTTAGGAGAGTTTAGTTTCTTAAGTTCCCTGTATATTCTGGTTATCAATCCCTTGTCTGATGTATAGCTGGCAAGTATTTTCTCCACTCTGTGGGTGGTCTCTTCAGTTTAGAGACCATTTCTTTTGTTGGACAGAAGTTTTTTAGTTTTATGAAGTCCCAATTGTCTATACTTTCTCTTAGTTGCTGAGCTGCTGAGGTTCTACTGAGGAAGTCTTTGCCTATACCTATTAGTTCCAGAGTGTTTCCTGCTCCTTCCTGTAGTAACTTCAGAGTTTCAGGTCTAATATTAAGTTCCTTGATCCATTTTGGGTTGATACTAGTACAGGGTGATAAACATGGACCTAGTTTCAGTTGGAGGAGATTTGTCAGATGCTGACCAGGGCAATCAGTGTGAGACTCTGTCTAAAAAATACATGGCAAAAAAAGGTGGGCACATGGCTCAAATGGTATAGCACCTGCTCAGTAAGCACAAAACTATGAGTTCAAACCCCAGTACTGCCATCAAAATTCTTTTGAAAAGCAGGTAAGTTAATAAAAATTTTAGAGAATCATATAATGAAGAAACTAGCCTTAGAAATATTAAGTGCTGAATTACATATTTGGGAAAGAAAGAATTTTAGTGAAAAATGGACTATGGTGAACAAAGGGAAATTTGTAAATAGAGTGGTAAGTAGTCAAAGCTTAACTAGAAATCTGTGACAATATGGCCTGTTGATATTGTCTTGTCTTTTTTTTTCTTGGCTTGATGGTATTTCATGAGGAATTTAAAATTTTATTTTGCATAATAATGCGTTCCACTATGACATTTTCATATGTGTATATGATGAATTTCAATCATATTTACACTCATCCATCCTCCTGCTAGTATGCCCCCACCAAGTTGTCTCTCGTGTTTTTTCTTTGTTTGTTTGATTTTAGGTCCAGATTCTGCATATTGCAGAAAGCATATGATAATTTGTCTTTCTGAGTCTAGCTTATTTCACTTAAAATGATGATCTACATTTCTACCTGTTATCTGGCAACACCATAATTTTATTCTTCTTTATGGATAAATAATACCCCATTGTGTGTATATACCATACTTTCTTCATTCATTCATACAGTGTTGGGCACCAAGGCTAATTCCATGACTTAGGTATTGTGAATTGTGCTACAAATAAAATAGGTATGCAGCTATCTACAGTGTATGCTGGCTTTGATTTCTTGGGATGCATGCCTAGGAGTGGTATTGCAGGATCATACAGTAGTTCTGCTTTTAATTTTTTGAGGAATCTCCATACTTATTTCCATAGTGGCTGGATAACTTACACATCCACCAACAGTGTATGAGGATCCTTCTCTAACCCCCTCTCCTCACCAGCATTTGTTGTTGGATTTTTACATGAGTTTCTGTTTTGTCTTGTTTTTGATGAGATAACATATTGATAAAGTGTTCTACATTGTAATACACATGAATCAATATAATTATTGTCACATATTTATTTACCTTAGATAGATAAAAAAGCTGCTAAATTGAGTGGTGGTATGTGAGATGGTTAATAGGTAATGTATTCATATATTTTCTTTCAAATCTTTTCTTTAATAATATTTGATATGTCTATATCCAAACATTGAGTATATTTTAAAAAATTCTTGCTCTTAAGAAAAACACAATAAAAATTTAAGATATGCAGGTTCAAATAATTCAAGTGGCCAAATGCTAGTGTATGTAACCTCATACCCACTATTCATTACAGAAAGAGCACATGATATGAATGTTGTCAAAATTCAGATTTATAGAAGATATATTGGATTATTATTATCCCTTAAAATTTGAGACATTTTCATCAACACATGAAAGTTAAATAAGGAAAATCTAACTGGTCTTCATTTCATATATCAGAAAGGATAGATTATTAAGTAAAATTCCTTCAATAAAAGGCAAGGGAGAAATGTTTAGGAACAAATAAAAATAATCACAGAGCCAGGCACTGGTGGCTCACACCTTCAATCCTAGCTACTCTAGAGGCAGAAATCAGAAGGATCGAAGTTTGAAGCCAACCTAGGCAACCTAGGATAGTTTGTGAGATCTTATCTTGAAAAAAATCTTCCCAAAAAAGGGCTAGTGGAGTTACTCAAGGTATAGCCACTGAGTTCAAATCCCAGTACTGCAAAAAAAAAAAAAAAAAAAGTTGTAGAAAAAACTATAAAAAGTCTGACAGTCATTTCAAAGTGAGAGTTTCAATTTCTAAACTTGTTCAATTATGGAGATGAGGTTCAAATGATCTTTACTTGTGGTACTGGGGATTGAACTGAATGTCTTGTGCATGGAAGGCAAGGGCTCTATCACTTGAGCCATGAACCAAACCTTTTTGGCTTTGTATATATAGAGAGTATCTCCTTGTTATCTTTGCTCAGGTTGGCCACAAACTCCAAATCTTCCTGTCTTTCCCTCCTAGCTGTGATTTCTGGTGGCTGTAAACATCCCTGGCTTAAAATGATTGAATATGAAAAGAATAATGAATTTCTCGTTCTACAATGATTCCACTATTTATTTGGAAAACACTTATCAACTGCATATATAATCTGCAGTTACATCTGTTTAAATATGTAGATATCTAGGGATACATTATTTCTGACCAAAACTCTTAGACTTGTTGTCAAAACAGGGCCTTAATGAAGAAACCAAATGCCTTAAGGAGGTGATATAATGATTTGTTCAGGTATTAGCAAAAAAAAAAAAATTCAATTCAGAGATTTTGAAAACAGGAACAACTTAAGGAATCTGTTTCGTATCTTCTTGGTCCTCACACCATAAATAATTGGACCCACCATGGGTGGGAAAAGAAGACAGATGTTGGCCACAAATATGTGCACATGGGGAGCCACACGGTACCCAAACCTGTGTGTGAGAAAAGAGAAGAAGGCTGGAATATAAGTCACTAGGATGACACACACATGAGAACCACAGGTGCTCAAGGTCTTGAATTTAGCATGCTTGGATGGGAGGTGAAAGACTGTGTAGAGAATTCTCACATAAGAACAAATGATCAGTATGAAGTCCATCCCTCCAGTAAGGAAGGCAACGATGGGGCTGTAGGCTCTGCAGACCCTTGTCTCAGCACAGGCAATCTTGATTAGTGCCATGAACTCACAGTAGGTATGGGAAATTATGTTTGTTCTGCAGTAGGGAAGCCAACGTAACATGAAAGGGTGAGGAGAAAGAAGTGTTGTGCCCCTAAGTACAATAGCAATGCCCATCCTCCCAGTCACAGTGTGGGTCAGAATTGTTGAGTGTCTTAGTGGATTACAAATGGCTACATAACGGTCAAAAGCCATAGCCAAGAAGAAACCAGACTCCATGATGCAGAAAGAATGAATCAGGAACACTTGGGTGAGGCAGGCTTCAAAGCGAATCTCTCTGTCCTGGAACCAGAAGAGGCTGAGAAGTTTGGGAACAACTGTAGTACACACTACAAGATCAGCCCCAGCCGCCATGCACAGGAAGAGGTACATTGGCTGATGGAGGCTGGTGTCTGTCTTGATGATAACCAGAAGTGAACAGTTTCCCAAGAGGGCCAAAAGATAACCTAAGCAAAAGGGAATGGAGATCCATATGTGGGAAGCCTCCAATCCAGGAATGCCAATGAGAATGAAGGTTGATGGATGGATATCAGTCTTATTGTAAGCTGACATAACAAGGGCCAGGTGTTTTGTTGTTTATGTTTATGTTTCCTTCCAGGCAAAAGAAATTATGATTTGTAAATTTCAAAACCTCCAATGAGTTGGAAAATAATGATTCAGGAAACTGTAGTCCATGGGGTAAATCCAAAGTTTGTAAATATATGGGTAGAAACTAGTCCATCGTCTGAAATAATCAGACATCTGAATAAAGACATAGATGGCTTCTGCATGAAAAACATCAACATTTCTTCTCGTTTAGATACACTGAACTCATTGATTCTTCTTAATCATGTGCCGAACAGCTTCAATAAATTTTGCCAATACATTTCTATTGATATTGTCAGTGACATATGAGTTTATAATTTATAATACTGATAGATTCTAAATGATAGAAAATATTTAAATACCAAAATTCAGAATAAATATATGAAGACATACCATCTACTGTTCAAAAAAAGTAATATCAGTTGAAAATCAAAGAATGTGTAAGAGCCAGAGGTTTAGAAGAAACAGTGCACGTACAGTACAGAGAAAGACAAGAAGGATGATAGGAGTCTTTGCATAGAAAATTGAAAGTATTTTCAGATGTTATACATAAGAGCTTGGGGACATGTCAAGTGACACTGTGTGCATGATTTGAGATAGGAAAAGAATAGTATTGAGAATGTGTCCACTGTTGTGGAAAGATCAGGAGGAGGTTTACTCACATCTCCTTAAAATCATTAAAAATGATATATTATGATATCCTCAGCATAATTATGATGAATAAAGCATATTTCTGTTAATGGATATCAATACTTTGAATAAAATAAAATATGAATTTTCTACTAGTATTGGTATATACCTCACAAAAAATTAAACAAATATTTGTGAATATAATGTAATAACATTTACACTGAGAATTTTATAAACACAGAAATAAATTTAAACAGAAACTCAAATTAGGACAAATCTAAAATAGATGATATGTGGAAAGGAAGATAGCTAGGGTAAAATTTCTCTTTGTCATTATGATTTTAATTTTTAAACAGTGACAATATATTCAAGGTATTCATGAGGACTGTGCCATGTGCAAGGCTATTTAATAAACAATGTAGAGTGCAAGTGTATTCATCAGAAAAGTACAAATCAAGTTATTAAAAGTTATATGTGCCCCATGATTTGAAAAAACATTACAGCATCTTTTAAATTAGTTAAAATACATTTCCTCACATCTCAGCCTGTTAAATTGGTCAGGTTCTGAATCTGTAAAATGCTGAGCCTGTGTCTTTGTTCTTCATGGTATTATGTACAATAAATTTGACTAGAATTGAAAACTCTAGCCACATATCAAATCTTCTTTGTTGTTTTTCTAGCTACCTTGAAATATTGATATTTTTCCTTGGTTTCCCTGTGGTATATGCACTTACCTGTCTTCCATCTTTTGTCATATTGTATTTTGTCCTTATATGGTATATTCTTACTGGGTGGAACTGATGTTTTTTCCTATGCTTTCTTTTTGAAATGAAGTAATGGAGAAAAAATAAAAAGAGAAGTTTAGGGTGTATTTTTTCTCATCAATAATTTAAATGTAAATTTAAGAAACACTACTATCAAACACTATAAACCTATCAGGAATAAAACAGCATAGTCTACATGAATTCTTAAACCTGAAGATATGATTCCTGAAGACAACATTAAATTTTGTGGCATGTCCAGGTATTATTTTCGGACAAAATTCAACTATGTCGGCATTTATTTCAGACAGGTTTCTCTGATTGCCTGGTGGAGAAACCCTAAGGTAATTGAGGGGAGGAGACAGGCATACAGTTTTAGAGAATAAAGAAAATGGTTTGTAATGATTTCCGGATAAAACCACATCCTTCATCCATCTCTTTATAAAAATAAAATGATATAAACCAACTTTAACTGAGCATCTTCTACATGCTATTCAAGTTGCATTACTGGAATAGTTCCATTTTGTTCTCAAGGGCTATTTTGGTGTAAGGAGTTCTACTCATGACACTGATAAAAATCAATTTTAGAACTATAATGTTCAATTACTTTGCCCAAAGCTATTCTGCTATGGATGGTGGAGCTTCTGTTTGAACCCAAGCAATTACTAAGTTTTAATCTTAATATTAAAAGATGCCCATAACAAGTTCAGATGCCATTGCATGTAAGATAGATACAGTTTGTGCAGGATCCACAAACCCAAATGGCATCATTTGTCCTAAGAAAGCTTACACAAACTTGCTTTTTAGGGTTTGGATGCTCTGAGTAGAGCTCTGAATCCTTCCTTCTGACTATTTCTCAACTAGTTCATAATATAATGAGAGCTATTGTGCTCTTCTTACCTCATTTTGGGTTTTGTGTAGATCTAAAATAACATCAACCAAGCTTAAACAAGGCTATTTTTTCTAATGACTTCTATCTTTTGCAAATGAAGTCTTATATACAGATATCAATGTCTCTATGGGCAGGAAATAATGGTGACTTCCCCATGGGAGTCAAAGAAGAAACGGTTGGGAGTTGGAGTATTGAGGTCAGACAGGCTTAACTTCCATATCTTAATAGCAGTAGAATGCAGGAAGGAGGCAGGGCAGTGAGTTTTCCTTAACTGTCTCTGCAGCCTGCTGCTGAGCAGGATTGCTTGAGTCGCAGAATTGCTGGTTCTTAAAAATGTTATACATGTATGTAGAAGCAGGAAATAGGTTGAATAAACTTTATTTTAGGTAATTCCTTTGTATTTTTTTCATTAATTTTTTTTATTCAGATATATTCATTTTACAGGAGGATTCATTGTGATAATTCCAAGTAGGCTTACGTTGTATATTGGTTAGATCATTTCTTAACCCTTTTGCTGTCCCACTTAAGACTATTACAGGAAGCTTCTTTGTTTTATTTCATACAAGTACATGAAGTCCATGAATCATAATCCCTCACCTTAATTGTCTTTGTTCATCCTACCTCCAACCACAAGTACCCACTCACACACACACTGTGCCTATTTTAAGTCCTGTCTTTCATTATTAATATGTCAATGTTCAAAGAGTTTTCTCAATTAATCCCCACTGTGAGTATACTTTACTTTTGTCTGTTTAACCCTTTTCATTACTCTCCCTTCCTCTTTTGCCTCCCAATCCCTAGAAAACACTAGTAGTCACTATATTCTTGATATTAAGTTTTAATTACATTTTATAACTATGTACTGTTATGATTTTGAATATTTAAGTATATTAGACATAATTTTAAATCATAATTAAAGTTTTAAGTTGTGAAATATACCTTATTTCATAATTCATCAGAATTAATTTCATAGGTAAATAATTATGTGAAGTAAAGTGGATTTGGATGAGAATTACATTGTATCTAAACATTTATGAACAAAATTTGACACAACAAATTATTCTAGCATCTCAGCCTTCTAGGTCTTTTGCTTGAGTTTTCACATATTTAAGATTCTTTTCAGATTTTAAAAAATCATTTGAAACATTTCTATGTCAATGTCACAATTGTTATCTATAAAAACTGAAATGTTATAATTTTGTTACTTTAAATAATATTCTTCATAAGTCTCATTTATGCATTTTATATAAATGACATATATACCCTTAAGCGTTACTTTTCAAAGATTTCAAATTCATCTCATCCCTAAAATGTATTTATAATATCAAATCAATGTGATAAATTAACACCTGTAGTGTGTGATAAAGGCCTTGAAAGGATGTGTTAAAAATAAAATTTAGAGAGGTCATTATTTTGGATTGAGCTTCTGCACTAGGGCCCAACAGACTAACCAAACCAAAACGCCCAACACCAAACAACCAACAAACAGACCCAACACCAAAACAGGATGGCCTCACTTGTGCTTCTAACTTGTCAAAATAAAAATTCTAATCAGGGGCTGGTGGAGTGACTCAAATGGTAGAATATTTGCCTAGTACGTGTGAAGCCCTGAGTTCAAACTCCAGTACTGCCAAAAAAATCTAATAGGAAAATATCTGCAAACAGTTCGGCTGCTCCTAACAATGGAGATTTGTAGCAATCAATCAGTAGGGGCTCAGTCACCCTAAGTCAGTGTGATACCAAAGTCCTCTTTGCTTTAATCCTCACAAGAATAGTAGCCCAGTCACCTGATAATAACCAATTCTCTTTTTTTTTTTGCATTATTGTTTTCTTGTTTCTGCTCAAGCTACTCTGCAAGCCAATTGTTCTGACATGTCCAGTGGAACTCCTTATAGTTTTGGAAGGAATTATGCGTGATCATTATTTAAAGAAAATTAGATCTATAAATTGGTTGAAATTTTGTTTTTTAATAGGTGAAAAAGAGGCTAAGCATGTCCATGCATGAGATGTCAACTAAGAAAACCAATGTGAAAGACAGCATTTTTGAGAGGCTGAAAGTTAAACAAATTTACATTCAAGTTAGTTGGGGTTGGAGAAATGTACAGCTCTTCCTGACAGGTGCTGACTGGCTGGCTCATCTCAAAAGGCAATAAGAAATGTTGAATGTTCACCGTACAACTGAGGCACGTTCTGTATATCAAGAGGCTGCTGTAGAAAATTTAAATGTCTGTTAATTATTATGCAAGGAAATAATGATGTGGAAGAGCAGTTTGTCAATGCTGATGAGATTGGGTTATTTAGATAAGATGTCATTAAAACTAATATAATACAATGGTCCCCTGAACTCTTGGCATTAAGATCATTAAATGATTGTGCAATCTATTAATGGAACTACATGCTGAATGAGATATTTAATCAGAAATTCTTATTAAACACCTTATATATTGATTAGCTTAAAAAGCTATGTCCAGATGCTTGTGGGAACCTAAGACTCTATCTCCCCTGGTGCATTATATAGATCCATATTTGGTAATGCAGTGTTCAGAGAAAATTTATAGAACATCCCTATTAAGAACATTGAGAATTTACTCTTTGTACGTAAATGTACACATAGGTCCATGGCTTTGGACCTACTGACTTATGCATACATTGCAGAATGGCTAAGTCAAGCTATTTAATAAACGCATTGCCACTAT